AGTTGATTTAACCTAACCTTGGGTCTTTTTTGGCAGCTAGTTTACCTCTGGACATCGTCCACTGCCTAGTATTTATTCATTTATCAGATATTTTTTTTTGAAAACCAACTGCATGCCAAAATTGCACTAGTTTATTTGGATACAATGGTAGCCTAATTTCTGAGCTTTTTTTTTTTTTCCCCAAGAAGCCTGTGGTCCAGTGAGCAAACAGATTAAACACAGTTAGTTACATCACTATGTGCTCATTAAGTCTGTGGAAAAAAAAGAGGAAGAGGAAGATAGCAGATATCCTGAAAGCACTTGAGGGACACAACCCTCAGACTTTTCCTAGAGTAGGAATGAACAGGTGTGTTACAGAAATTATTACAGAGGAAATAATGTCTCAACTAAGATCTGAGATTGGAGTGAGGCAGAGTACAGAGAATGATTGATTGTGCAGAATAGTAAGAGGAGGAGCTAGTGAGTTAAAATGGGAAACTAGTCATTCAGAGCTTTCCTTTTAAATGATATTGGGGAATTTGGAATTTAGAATTTTGGGAGTTGGGATTGGAATTGAAGGGTTTTTATGTGAAAATGGTATCACAAATGGGGTAAGACTTGGAGACCAATAAAGAAGTTGTCATAGAATTCCAGTCAAGAAATAATGGTGATCAAAAGTGGGGTAGAGGCATTAATGAGAAAAAGATTGTGTGAAATTTTTGAGAAAGTAGAATCGACTGATTGTTATTTGAAACACTGAGAGTAAAACTTAGGCTTATTCACTCCAGTAAAACATAATTTGAGAGAAGGATCTGGAAACCTATAATATAGCAAGTGTAGAAGCTAAAGAAGTAATATCATGGTAAATCTTTGCTTGGGAATACCATTTCAGTGCTCCTTGCAATAGTATGAATAAGTAATTATTGCTTCTACCAAAATTTCTACAACCAAATAATTGTAGTCACTTAGGTTTACATTTGATACCAACATGAGTAATCCTTAGTCGTGCATAGACAGCTCTTCTTACTCTTTATGTCTAGTCCTACTATTTTAGACTAGTCAGTAAAATCATAGTATAGAGAGCACAATGGGAAGTAGAAGGAGTCCAGGATCCATTGGTATAATTTGAGAAGAAATTCAACCAAACTTTTTCTGATAATGTATTTGCAGAGAATAAAAATTTAGTTGTACCACTAAATATTCACTTTTTTGGCCATTAAGCAGTTTTAAAAAAGTATAAAATTAGAATTGTCTTTTCTTAAACTTTTTATTTTGAAATTGTAGATTCTCACAGAAGTTGCAAAAATAATACATAGAGTCTGGTAAACCCTTCACCTAACTTCTCTTAAGGGTGTAACAATTTATTTATATAACTGTTATGCAATATCAAAACCAAGAAATTCACATTGGTATAACACTTAAGTAAACTGCAAACCTTATTCAATTTTCAGCAGTTTTTACTTGAATTCATTTTTGAGAGTGTAATTTTCTGTGATTTGATCCCATGTATAGATTTGTATGACTGGCATCACAAAAAAGATACAAAACTATTCCATCACTACAAAGAAAATCCCTTATGCAACCCCTGTATAGTTGTACCCACTCCTCAATCCTGTCCCTGTCTCCTTGCTACCATGATTTCCTTCTTCATTTCTAAAAGTTTTATCATTTCAAGAATGTGATTTAAATGTAAGTTTTTGAGATTTGCCTTTTTTTAAAAAAATAAGCATTATACCCTAGAGATCTATCCAAGTTGTTGCATGTATCAGTAATTACTGCTTCTTTTTTTTGCTCAGTTATATTCACTGTATGTATGTATAGATGTTTCAGTTTCTTTAACCCCACTGGTTTGTTGAAGGACATCTGTATTCTTTCCAAGATTTTGGCTATTATAAGGTAACTTGTTATGAACATTTGTATCGCAGGCTTTTGTTTGAATATAAGTTTTCATTTCTCTGGGATACTCAAGAATATAATTGCTGTGTTGTGTGTAAGTGTATGTTTAGTTTTTTTAAGAAACTGCCAGAAAGAAACTGTGTAGGATGGCCGTACCATTTCACAATCTCACTAAGTAGCTGTATGAAAAATCTTTATTCTCACTAGCATTTGGGGTTATCTCTATTTTAGCTCTCTAATAGGTGTGTGTTAATAGCTCATTTTGGTTTTAATTTGCATTTTGGTAATGGATAATGATTAATATCTTTTCGTGTGTTTATTTGCTATCCATCTACCCTCTTTGGTGAAATGTCTGTGTTTTGTCCATTTTTTTCTAATTAAATTATTTCTTTATTGTTGAATTTTGAAGATTTATTTATATACAAGTCCTTTATCAGATATGTGGTTTGCAAATATTTTCTGTCTGACGCTTCTTTACTTCTCTCAAATTAGAATTGTCTTTCAAATTATTCTGTTACTGAGTGGAAATTTGACTATTGCTTGCAGAGGCAAAATGTATTAAAATTAGTCTTTTGACTAAAACTTAATTTAGTCAAAACTTATGTAAGTCAGGCATTAAAGTAGTATGTATGTTTCTTTCATAAATGATCCCCAAATGAAGAAAAGAGCATGCCTTTAATGGCTTGCCTGAATTATATTTGATACAAGGAAGCAGATTAGACACCTGAGACCTCAGATATTTTACGTAGCTTTTCTGAGTAATGTTTTCTTAATACTTGAAATGGGGGGAAATGTTTTTTAATTCCAGTAATACTACAAAATAGCAAATAAAGTTCTAAAAGTCATATTACAAAAGCTTTCCCCCACTTTTCAAATATTTAGTCTTCCTTATCGTTTAGGGGACAGTTGTTCTATGGTCACTTGTAATTTCAGATGTCAACTTGTAGACCTTTTTCGCAGTCAAGAGTATCTTACACCAGAGTAAGGATATCATTTCATGTTTCTAAAAGGATTTTTTTTCTTTACAACTCTCACAATGAGACAATTCTAATTTGAGAGATGTAAAGAAGCTTCAGACGAAATATTTGCAAACCACATATCTGATGAGGGACTTATATATTTTTAAAAATCCTCAAAATTCAACAATAAAATTGAAGGAAAAAATTAAACTAGAATAAAATAAAAATAATGTAAAGATTCTCAAGCAAGGTGCCTTATACAAACATAAAAGCCTCCTCGAAGGTGTCCTGGGTCAGCTGAGAAGATCTCTTTTCTCCTAAGAAATACTACTCATTAGGGTCAAGACATCAGTTGAGTACTCTGTTCTTGAGTTTCCAGTTTGGGAGCCTGGAGCCAGAAGCCCTTTGGAGTTTAGGCCTTAGCTACCTGGCTTATACAGTGAGAAGACAGATTATCTTTCTTGCTATCCATCTTTCAAGACCTTGTTCAGCTGCTGTCCTGTTGGCATTTCCAGGGAAGAAGAAAACAGCTTTCCAAGGCTTGGCGTCTATTGAAATTAATAAATATGAATATAAAATATTACAGTGGCTGATCTTCCTTTAAGTTAGTGAAATTTCTGTCTTCTAGAACAGTTTACTAAATAACAGTTATATATAACCAAACATATACACTTACAACTATATTCATGTAATAATTTTATTACATATAACTAAATATAACTTTGTCGGGTTCAAATCCCGGTTCTACAACTTAAATGCCATTTGATTTTAGTCAAGTTGCTTAACCTTTTATGTCTTCTAATCTTAAAGGGGTATTGTAATGGTACTTATTCCTTAGGGTTATTTTTAGGATTAAGTGAGTTAATAAATGCAAAGCACTTATAACAATTTCTAGTACATAAGTAAACACTGCTTAAACTATTTACCTGACTGGTAAAGGACTCCTGTAAAAAATCAGTGCTAAGAAAATTAGATCTTTTTTTTCTTTTTTATGCTATAGAAGTAGATGTTTTATTTAACAATCCAAGTTCCAAAAATGATCAACAATATAACAATAGCATGACTTTGTAAATTCTATTCTGTGCCTGATTTTTATAAATGTATCATTTTCTGGAGACCTGTAGAATCATTGGAGAGCCAAATGATTTGCTTGGCTTTGGTGTCACAAATGTTAATGTGAGGCTTGCAAAGGTAGGAAAGTGTTTGGAAACTGAAATTCTTTCCTAATTAACTTGAATTTAAGCAGTAAGGCTGCATAGACCTGTTGATTGAGATACTGTTCTATTGAAATGAAGGAGTGATGGTTAGTTACCATTTGTAATTGAGCATTCATTCATTTAGCAAATGTTTATTGAGTCCTACTCTGCCCAGTGCTGTATAAAGCATGGGGATATAACAGTAAAACAGTTTTAACCTCGTAGTGCTTGAAGTCTAATGGGAAGGCAGGCATTAGTCAAAATATCTTATAAATATGTAATGATAGATTGCAGTAAGTGCAATAAAGGCCCTTCTCTTGCACAGGAGATGCAATGAGAGTATGTCATAGGCAGACCTGATGTAATATGGGGGTCATAAACAGTGGCTGGAAAACATCAGAATTTGGTAAGCAGTGGTAGAATAGAATAAGAAGAAAAGAGTCTTCTCTTTTTAGAAAATTAGATCTTTTAACCAGAGATATTTATCTGTGAGTGTGTTGTACTCAAGGAGAATTTTATTAGTTATTTTTTATTAGTGTATATATTTTTCATTCCAGTTATCATTGCCAGTTTTATTTTGGACATTATGCTAAAATGCTTGGAATTTTAAAATACTTTCAATTTGAGGACACTAGCAATTAAATGGACATTTTTGTTTAATATAATTTGATTATGAATAAAGAGAAATACAGGCAGTTATGGATGTTCACAGAAGTGGCATTTTATTGAGAAAATTGACATACATCACTGTATAAGTTTAAGGCATAAAACGTGATGGTTTGATTTACATATATCGTGAAATGATTACCACAGTAGGTTCAGCTGAGAATTTAATGTTTGAGGAAGTCGAACAATTTCAATGTTTTAAAACTTGTGTTTGTTTTGATTCTATAATATAAATTCTTAAATAATTGCTTTAAACCAATAGTCTATTATATTCATGCTAATTTTTTTTTTATTTTATTTTAAGGCTTTCGTTTGTTGAAATGAACAGTCGTAAATCAAAGAGTAACAATTTAATACATGCAGAGTACCTTTCACAGGTTAGTATATATTTTCATTAATCTCAAGGTCTGTTACCATGCAAAGGTCATA